TCTCATTATCAGCAGATGTTTATTCATTGCCTGTCAAGCTTTCCACTCCAAGCTCTTAGATACCTGTGAAATAAAGCTGTAGAAGGCACAGATTCCACTCTTGTGAATTCTCCTTCCTACTTGCGTCTCCAGCATCCTATGCAGTGCCTGGCATATAGTGGATACCCAAAGTGTTTGTAGAACTAAACTTCTGAGTTGAAAATCTACTGTGTGTTCAGATGAATTTGAAGAGAAACAAACAAACATGTAACCATAAAAAGAAAATATGAAAAAAAAGCATGTGAGTTAGATTTTTTTTTAATTCTTGAAAACAGGAAGAACACCTTCTGTGTATTTAACCTGTGTTTTTCAATCTACTGAAAACTTTCAATATAGTTTTCACACCTATTTGTGGGACTGCATTAAAATTCCCACCTCGTGGGGCACCTGGGTGGCTCAGTCGGTTAAGCGTCTGCCTTTGGCTCAGGTCCTGATCTTGGGAGTCCCAGGATGGAGCCCCAAGTCGGGCTCCCTGCTCAGCGGGGTGTCTGCTTCTCTCTCTCCCTCTGTTCCTGTTCCTGTTCTCTCGCTCACTGTCTCAAATAAATAAATGAAATCTTTAAAAAAATATATTAAATTCCCACCTTGTAGACAATTAAATTTAGGATCCAGAGGGATAAAGTTATTTGTGCCACATTACAAAAACAAGGGGCTTTAGTGGGCTAGAAGTTAGAACAGCTTCTATTTCAAAAACATAGTTGTATGGTGATTAACATAATTAAAAAAAAAAAAAAAACCATAGTTGTTGATTTGGCTACCAGAGGGCAATCCCCATTCACCTGCCCACATACTTCCATTCTAAGACGAAAGTGAGATCCAAGTGATATATGAAAAGTCAGCATTTGTGTCAGAAAGGCCCCCGAACTGCAAGTCACCTTCGAGTGGTAAAGGGAGGAGAGAAAAGCAGTTGCACAACCTCTGGAAGCACAGAAACACAAGTGACCTCACCTTGGGGGCCTGCATCCAGGGCCAGCTTCTTTTTTTTTTTTTTTTTTTTTAAAGATTTTATTTATTTATTTGACAGAGAGAGACACAGCGAGAGAGGGAACACAAGCAGGGGGGTGGGAGAGGGAGAAGCAGGCTCCCCTCAGAGCAGGAAGCCCAATGTGGGACTCGATCCCAGGACCCTGGGATCATGACCTGAGCTGAAGGCAGATGCTTAATGACTGAGCCACCCCCGCCCCCAGGGCCAGCTTCTAACTGACAAACACAGAGATACAAACTTTGTGAGAGCCTCATCGTGCTTTCTCTGGATAAAAACAGATATCAGATCCCATCTTCACCATCACTAAACAGCCTCAAGGATAAAGTCCTAAAGTGAAAATAAAGTCACCTAAAACACTCTCACGGTAACTTCCACAAAAGCCATTTATGCAGGCTCAGCTGTGAAGGTTTATCACGAAGTCAGGCTGATACCGGAAAACATCAGCACTTGGATAAAAGGTAAAAGACAATTTAGCACAAGTGGCTCCTAAAATTGAAAAGCTAACTCATTAAACTAAGCCTCTGGGGAAAAAAAAAAAAAAAAAAAAAAGAGGAAAGTCAGAAAAGGCAAAACCTAGCAAGAAAAGCATATTCTTACTTCTGAGCAGAAGTGAGAAAAAAAGAGGAATTAGTTGGGTTCCTCACTTTAGAAAAATTTGAAGTCACTTGATGATTTCCAGATCATATTCATCAGAAACCAACTGAGATGTAGCTGTGCATTCTATCTCCTTTCTACTCATTTCCACATAAATGTAGGAGCACTGCCCAAGCTACTCTGGGTTGAGGGGAATTGGGATTAAGATTAATAAAACCCCCTCTCCGGGTGCCTGGATGGCTCAGTCGTTAAGCGTCTGCCTTCAGCTTAGGTCATGATCCCAGGGTACCGGGATCGAGCCCTGCATCAGGCTCCCTGCTCCTCGGGGAGCCTGCTTCTCCCTTTCCCGCTCCCCCTGCTTGTGTTCCCTCTCTCGCTGTCTCTCTCTGTCAAATAAATAAATAAAATCTTAAAAAAAAATAAAATAATAAAAATATAAAACCCCCTCTCTGCCATCAAGAACACAGAATCTACTGTGAGACCATGCCAGAAGCCTTTGGGAATGTTGGCACATCCCACCACCCCTTTCCCTGGGACGTGACATCCCGACCCTGACCCACAAACTCACAGCCCAAGTTGAGCCTTATTCGTAAAACTTGACTTCCACCCACCTGGCCATGCTTGACCCATGAAAGGACAAGAGTCCCTCCCAAAGAATTTGGAAATCAATGAAATAAGCAGACAGCCTCTTTGTTGGCCAGAACTCTGTATAACATACACACCTGGACTACGGAGGCCCACATCATATTCTACAGTCTGTGGAGCAGAGAAAGAGAATAAAACAGATGCATACTCTTACGGACAAGTGCTAAAGAAGGAATACTATGGGTTCCTGGCAGCTCTCCGTCCCAGGGCAGACCATTCTGAAGGCTGCCCGCCTCACCACCCTTGTACCCTTATAGTGAGCTAGCCTAAAGTAGTTTCTGTTACTTGCAACCAAAGAGTCGTAATAACTACAGAAGGAGTAAGACCACAACATAAATGCATCTAATACACAGCATGGTGCTAAGGAGGCAAACATGCTGCTTCATTCATCAGAACATAACTTGGCAGTAAAGGGGCACGGAGTAAGACTCGTTGTAAAAGATGGAGATGTGAGTCCAGACTCCACTCTGCTAGTCCCATGACCTTGAGTAAATCCATCTACCCTATGCTTAACGCAGTGCCTAACACAAAGCACATGCTCAGCATGTATGTGTCAGAAAAAGGAAGGCAGGCTAGCAGCCACCCACATATCAGATGCACTTACTCCTTCAAGACATTTCTCATTAATACAATGGGACTAAGAGTGTCTACTTTATGTATCTCACAGGATCAGAATATACATACCTGTGTATGGTTAAAAGTCATTGGTAGGTTCAGATTGATGGACAGGTCAAATATACACCCACCTGAATTAATCAAAGAATATTCATGTATCTAGGGGCGCCTGGGTGGCTCAGTTGGTTGAGTGAGACTGCCGTCGGCTCAGGTCCTGATCCTGGAGTCCCGGGATCGAGTCCCGCATCGGGCTCCCTGCTCAGCGGGGAGTCTGCTTCTCCCTCTCTCGCTCCCCCCTCTTGTGCTCTCTCTCTCTCTCTCTCTCAAATAAATAAAATCTTTAAAAAAATAAAATAAAAGATTTTAAAAAAGAATATTCATGTATCTAAAGCGGGGGTTGGCAAACTACGTAGCCCACAGGCCAAATCCAGTCCACCACCTGTGTTTGTATGGTCCACAAGATAAGAATGGTTTTTACAAACGAATATTTGCAACTGATGGTAGGGAACACTAACTTTGAGTCACAATTTAGCTAACTGTTACGTTCCCCCACAAAACAGAATCCCATTTTTCTGATTAGAAGAACTGTACTACAAATAAAATTCAATTATTATTATATTTTTATTTTGTCAATACAAAATTTATGGAAAGTTGTTTCTCTCGTTATAAAGTACCAACATAATATCTCCAGTTTGCCTTTTGGCCCACAAAGCCTAACATATTTACCATCTGAAATATGAAAAAGTTTGAAAAAGCTTGTCGATCTTGATTAAAAGAATGTACAAGAAAACTCTCTCAGGGATATAGCAATGAAATTATTCTTCTCATCAGCCCCATTACTTTTAGCCCCATCAGTTTTGCAGAACATTTGAGTTTTTACACATGCATACTTTGCAATAGAGCAGAACAACCTGCAGTCATGTCTGTGTAAAGGTCACATCAGACCTTCCAGAAGCTCAGCTACCCACTTCACACCCAGCTTAAACAGGCTGGGCCGGTCTATGCACCTCTAGGCCAGGAACACATTAACCCTGACAGTATGTTTATGGAGTACGGTACAGGATCAAACACTCATCACCCTCAGCCTCCCAGACTAACACATCGTGGTCCAGGTTCATTCCTGAACCTAGATCTGCAAAGGGAGAACAAAGGTTCGTTACCCAGAAAATCTCTGGAGTCATAACAATATTCCTTCAGACCAGCCATTAAACCTACTATTAAACCTATTGTTCCACAATTAATAGCCATTAAACCTAGTATTCTACAAAACAAAACAAGGTAACATATGCATAGCATTAGTCCCGAGTAAATCGTGGAAGTAAGTGATTATGCTCCTCATCACAATTAATAACAACAATAATTAAAAAGTAAAATATTATAAATAAAGCAAGTTAATAAAAATGAATTTGCCAATACTGCAAAACACCTGTAATAAGTATATAATCATGCAAAAGGAACAGACTTTACCCTAAAGAAGTTTTGAAAATAATGCTATGAAGGCAAGAAAATAGCACATATACAGCTCTACATAAAGACAGATGTAAAAATAGAATAGTACTACTTAAAACAGGGTACAGACCTTAGAACCGTAATGTGGCCTCTGAAACACCTTCATGGAAGCCTGAGCTCCCACAAGTATGGAGTTTGAAAACCATAAGAATTGACCACCAGGAGCTCATAAAAATAGTTACTTCAAAGGTTTGAGGATTAAATGAGATGATAAATAAAAAATTCTTTTTACATTGAGTGGTACAAGTAAGTGCTCAATAAATATTAGCTATTACCTTTTTTTTAGGAAATAGTTGTCATCATTCTGTATATACTGAAAATATAATTATTCATTCTGATTATATCTCTTACTTAGACTCTAAGCATTTCCCATATTATTACATATTCTTCACTGTCATTTTTTTAATTTAATGGGTCACAAATGGTACTTAAGTTTTACTTTGATTTAAATGCATGTAATAATTAGCAAACAATTATTTTTGCATCTATTTATTTTTGCTTATTAACTGTATTTTTTTTCATGATGTCTGCTCATGAGCCTTATTCAATAACCCAATGGTAATCTCCATGGTTTCTTAAAATGAATGTTGGTTCAAAGCAGAAACAAGCTTACCTTCTGGGCACCCTGTCTTAAGAACGTGCTGGCAAAAGTTTCCAAAATGTAGTTGAGAAAGCCAGCCCCTGTGATTGAAATCCTGCCTCTCTGAATGAACTCTGTCCTGTAAAAAAAAAACAAAAAACAAAAAAATGCAACTTTGATGTCATTCTACGTTTGGATATTTAACTACAGATTTCCAACAGCATAGTTACCATTTACGATCAACACAAAACAATGTCCATAACAACGCAATAAGTGCCTATTACAACAAAAGTTTTGTTAAAAAGAGACTTAGAATTTATATATACAATTATTTTATTCAGATTACGTTGTTAAAGAGTAAATTTTAAAAGTTCTCATCACACAAATATTTTTAACTATGAGAGGTGATGGATGTGTTAACTAACCTTATTACAGTAATCATTTTGTAATACAAACATATAAAATTATGTTGTATACTTTAAACTTACACTATATGTCAGTTATAGCTCAATAAAACTCAGGGAAAAAAAGAAAATATATAGCTGTATTAGTCTAATTATAGCAACTGCAGAATAAAGGATTTCTAGTCACACCTAAGACATAATTCCATAATAAAAGTGTGACAGTCAAGAGGTCTGTACTCTAAAGTGTTGTTCTACTTGACCCACAATAAAATAAACTTAACTGATTCCAATTAAAATAAAACATATATATATATATATATATATATATATATACTCATTTCATGCAGCAAAATGGCTTCTTAAAATTGAGTCTGAGATAATTATCAGATGTATTAACTTTGGTTAGATTACTAAGCCATCAGTTTCCTCATGGGCAAAATGAGAATAATCATAGTATCATCCTTTCACAACTACTGTGAGAAGTAAATCAGTTAATACACATAATGGGAACATGAACTATTCTTGAGAAACAATGAGCATTCATTAAATGTTAGCCATTATGACCACAGAGAGACAGGCAGTAGAGACAGACTGGAAAGCCAGAAGCCTGGGATGACTTCTTTAATCTTTGACTGGAGAGAGTGGTGAGATTAGATGTGCCACTGTGCTATTTAAAGTTCTACCAAGAGGGGCGCCTGGGTGGTTCAGTCAGTTAAGCATCTGCCTTCAGCTCAGATCATGTTCCTGGAGTCTGGGGATTCAGCCCCACATCAGGTTCCCTGCTCAGCGGGGAGCCTGCTTCTCCATCTGCCCCACCCCTGCTCGTACTCTCTCTCTCTCAAATAAGTAAATAAAATCTTTAAAAAAATAAAGTTCTACCAATATTAATTATCTCCATTTCATAAAATGGATTAGATAACACTTTTTTTTTAAAGATTTTATTTATTTATTTGTCAGAGAGAGAGAGAGCACAAGCAGGGGGAGCAGCAGAGGGAGAGGGAGAAGGAGGCTCCCCACCAAGCAAGGAGCCCAATGAAGGACTCGAGCCCAGGACCCTGGGATTATGACCTGAGCTGAAGGCAGACACACAACCGACTGAGCCACCCAGGCATCCCGGATTAGATAACACTTGAGAGTAATGTCGAAAGATGGCAGAATAGAAACCTCCAGATCTTCACTCTCCCATGGGGATTCCAAGTTAACAGTACATGGACCAACTTGCCTTTGGGGGAACTCCAGAAACCAGTTGAGAGTTTGCAGCACCCCAGGTGAGTCCAAAGTCAAGAGAAGCCACATCAAAGTGGGAAAGAAAGTTTGCTGCACTTACCCATCTTAGCTCCCATCCACCGAGCAAAGCTCAGTGCAATTGGGGAAAAACTCCCCACTTCTAGCTTCTCCCCCAGGAGGCAAAGAGAAGAATGGAATATCCAATATTCTGGCTTTACAAGGGGGCTGCCCAAGAGATCACGGCAACTTGAGAACAGGGGCAGACCTCTTTAACTAGAAAATTTCACACACAAACCTACAGAAGAATCATCGCCAGAAAAGGTTTGAAAGAACCCCAGAATCTCAGGGCGCCTGAATGGCTCAGTCAGTTAAGCGACTGCCTTCAGCTCAGATCATAATCCCAGAGTCCTGGGATCGAGCCCCACGTCGGGTTCCTTCCTCAGCGGGGAGCCTGCCTCTTCCTCTCCCTCTGCCTGCCACTCCCCCTGCTTGTGCTCTCCCTCTCTCTATCTCTATCAAATAAATAAATAAATAAATAAATAAATAAATAAATAAATAAATAAAAAAGAAAGAACCCCAGAATCTCTACCCAGGCTGATTAGTAAAGGTCTTCCTCTGCATGAAACCAGTCCATTAAGACTGGGGGAGATGGCTGTTTTTTTCAAAGGCTTGAGTTTCAACAAAAGATCATGAAGTGTACAAAGAAACATGGCTCACCCAAAGGAGCAAAATAAATCTCTGGAAACCAAGCCTAAAGAAATAGAGATCTATGACTTATCTGACAAATAATTCAAAATGATCATCTTAAAAGTGCTCAGTAAAGGGGTGCTTGAGAGGCTCAGTTGGTTAAGCATCTGCCTTAGGCTCAGGACGTGAACCCAGGGTCCTGGGATCAAGCCCTGCATCAGGCTCTCTGTTCAGTGGGGAGTCTGCTTCTCCCTCTCCTTCTGCCTGCCGCTCCCCCTGCTTGTGTTCTCTCTCTCCCTCTAATAAATAAATAAAAATTTAAAAAAAAACTCCAGTAAACTAAAAAAGAAAACAGAGAGACAATGAAACAAAATCAGGAAAATGATGCATGAACAAAATGAGAATATCAACAAATAGTAACTATAAAAAAAAAAATCAGAAGGTGAAGTATACAATTGAATTGAAAAATGTCCTAGAGGGATTCAACAGCAAACTTAAACAAGCAGAAGAATCAGCAAACTTGAACACAAATCATGTGAAATTACAGAGTTAAGAGGATCAAAGAGAAAAAAGAAAGAAAAGTGAGACAGCCTAAGGGACTTAAGGGACATCACCAAATGGATCAATTGTACACATTATGGGAGTGCCAGAAGCAAAGGAGAGAAAGGGGCATAGCCTATTTGAAGAAATAATGGCTAAAAACTTGCCAAATCTGAGAAAGTAAATGGACATCCAAATTCAAGAAGCTCAATGAATACCAAAAATGATAAATCTAAAGAGACCTACATCAAGACACATTATAATCAAACCATCAAGCAAGAATCTTGAAATCAGCAAGAAAAAAGCAATTTATCGCATACAAGGGAGGTCCAATGATTTTCAGAGAAACCTCGTAGGCCAGAGTAGAATAATATATTCAAATATTCAAAGTACTGAAGGGAGGGGGAAAAAAAAACACGAAACACTACAAACCAAGAATACCTATTTGACAAAACTATCCTTCAAAAATAAAGGAGAAATTAAGACTTTCCCAGATAAATAAAAAATGAGGGATAAATTTGGATTACATTTAAACTTGCCTTGTTAATTCACGTGTTCCACATGCTAACCAGCTACTGTACACTAAGCGCCTTACTCAGGGCTAGAGATCCACAGAGGAGAAAGTCTCTGGCCTCCAGGATCCCACTGACTAGTGGGAAGGACAAATAGGCAAGTGGTTGAGTGTCATGCCGGCTAATAGAGCCAGGGCATTCCAATAAGGAAAACCACAAGGCCCCAGGCAAGAGAACATGAAGAAACAGAGAATGTCTGAGAAGCCACAAGTTATCTGAAAATACCCAGTACTTAGTAAGGAGCTTAATAAATTCTGTTCATAGGAATGACCAGAGCATAAGGTGGGCACAGGAGATATTAGGAAAGGACTCTTAAGGACAAAGGGAGATCAGATTGCAAATGGTCTTCTCATGCTGAGGAGTTTAGACTTTATCCTGCAGGCAGCAAGGACTCCCCCTCTGAGGCCACCAAGTAACAGGTAGAGATGAACAGTTACATGTGCACCACTGACTAAATAGCTCAGTGCCACTCTCTTTTAGACCATCTCTTATTCCCCATTTGCAACAAAGTACCCACATTCAGTGAGTTCAGTAAGCATTTGTTATATGAATAAATACATTAATATTACATTTCTTTACAACCAAAAATATTCAACAAAGGAAGTATTTCCTCTACTCTCTTCTATCTTCTATCTCTATGGAAAAGAGATGGGAGCCATGTCTCCTGTATGTGTATTTGGACGTGTGTGTGCATATCTATATCTATATATCTATATATCTATATATGAGCACACTTGCTCACACTAAGAACGATACTCTGAGAAAAATATAGATCCAAAAAGCTGTGATTCTGGTAAAAAATAGTTATCATAACTCTTATTAGACCTTCTAATTCTCTAGTAGCAGTAGCCTCTATACGCCAATCATGCATTCCATAAAAGGAAGCCTCTCTCTCTCTCTCTCTCACACACACACACACACACACACACACAGAGTTATCCTAGCCAATCTGACATAAATAGTCTAAGCAAATAGTCAGTCTAGGCAAAGCAGCTTCTACCTCTTAGATTTAAGCCTATTTAAAATGATTTGTTCATGTAAAGTGACACTAATCTTTCCTGTCTTTATTCCAGATTAGTCAGAGTAGAATTTTACAATGATTTTAATATTTAAAAATGAAAAGTTGAGCAGTCTTACACTCTTGGGAGAGATAAACTCTTCAGTCCTCAAGGCAAGTGTAGGTGAGGGATTAATAAAAGTCTCTATTGCATCATATTCTAACCAATATTTCTTTCTGCTACTTTTAGGAGACGTAAGTGCTCAGGAAAGCACTCTCATGGCTTGCCCACATATCAGAGAATAACAGGGCAGTAAAGTGGGGTCATACCCTCACCATCATTGAAATGAGTTTATCCTAGTATATTTTAAGACTGCTAGAGAAGAAAATGTTGCACTTTCCCTCAATAATTCATTGACAAAGCACATCAGACATTTTCTTCTTACTACACATAGCCAACCTAAATCCCTCATGCTAGATAACCCTTCTTTAAGTTCCTTCGCAAAACATAGCAGGTTACACAACAATATACAGTTTAATTTCAGCTCTTAAAAAAAAGAAGCAAGAAAGAAAAGATGGACTGATGGATGGAAAGATGAATGGACAGAGCTGCAATATGAAAAGAATCTCTGGATGTTAGAATTATAGGTGTTATTTTTTCATCTTCTGCCTTTTACTGATTTTCTATAATATGTATTACTTGGTAATCACC